GAATCTTTAGTCCCTGCTACCTTGAAAATCTATTATGACTCGCCGTCAGAACTACACCAAATCTTTTAGCCCGGTAGACTCCAAAAAGTCTATAACATTCCTAGCTTTTAGAACTTTTATATCTCCTGGGCTGGTTATGTGTCGTTCCATATGTATACTTTGTTTCTAGATCAGTTGTCCACATTCATGCAGGTGATATTTTAGTGTTTCACGTTCCCGTTTGCAATATCTGCATATGTCAGTGTCATTTAGTTTCATAAACATCAAGTGACCACACCCCAGGGCTTGTCAAGGAGGAGGGCAGGAGGAGCAGCTGCCCACATAGAGATTCTAAAAATGTTGCCTAATGTAAAACAACCAAAGTCCTAAGTCGTTGACTGCCATTTGCAATGCGGGAGAAAGGGAGTGGTGTAAATTCAAACCCCCAAATTATTTTTATTCTATTTTTCTAATAAATGTAAGAACTGATTTGCAAGTTTTATTTATTATACCGTCAAGAGCTCGTGTGACTTTACGAGTTGAACTCTGTACTTATGTTATTATAATTGCCGTAGATGTAAGGCTTGGTGTACAAGTAAAAGGTTCGTGTACTCTCGACATTAGCTACAATTCGTAATAGCTCATTCTCCATACTGAACTTGCTCTGTTCCATCGGCTGTCGTTGATCCTGACCACTTCTTTTAGTGGATTAATCCTATTACTTTGCCAGCAGCAATGTTTTGGTTGAGCACACCTGCGCTGGCAAGTCAGCACGAATTTTCATAGTCCAGGAACAACTGCATGCTTACTGTTGTACGCATTCACGATCTATCGACATTGCAAATGTGACGTTTCCTTCTCTGGATTTGGTACTTAGCACAATTAGCACAATATATTGCGTGGTTCTTGAATGAGCTGGAAAGTGAGATCGACATTGTGATTGTGTTCAACTGCTGCTGGACAACTTGCCTGCTGGTGATACAAATCTCCCTCTCCTGAGGACATTACGTTATGAACTATGTTACTGAAGTTCCGCTCAGAAATATTCTTTGCCCTTTTTGGGAGATCATGATACCCTGTTTTTGGATTAAATTAATAATACCGATGTTGCGTAACGTATTGTACAAACCCGCAGTAATGTTTTACAGGACTTACCCCCCTCAATTTGCATTACTTAATACTTGAACGCCCCCTAGGCTGCTTGACTCATATGTTGCTTGGAAAAAAAATCATATTAACTTAAATTTATTTTTTTCATTAATTTAAATATTATTTATTTAAACTGATTAGAAGATTAGTTGAAAATGAATCTTTGATAAATATCTTTCTATAACTGGTTGCTGGTTGTATAACATAATGCAATTAAAACCAAATAACAATGTTTTCATTCATTATCTACTGTTTAGGGAAGACAGTCGTCTTCCTTAAACAGAAGATAATTAATGAAAGGTTAAAAAAAAAGAAATAATGAGGGTATAAAAAAAAAGAAATTCTATTCAGTCCGTCAGTCAGATAATAGAAAAACATTAGATACGTATTTTTTTCACAAGGGTCGGTCACAGAATGGGTGACCAAAGAATTATTATCTCGAACCACACCGTGCTGCGGAAGGCACGTTAAGGCGTTAATACCCGCCAATCTGCATTAGGCCAGTGTGGAGGGTTATGGCCCATGCTCCGTAACCATCCATAAGGAACACCTGAGCCCCTGCAGTGGGGAGAAAATAAAGGGGCAATGATGAATAATCTACCTGACGGACCAATTAAACAAAAAATTGTTATCATTTTGTCAAAAATGACAGCCTTCTTTAAAACTAATCAAGTCGTATGATATTTTAGTTGCTATCACCGAATTCTTTTCAATAATTACTTGCAAGAGCTTCTTTTATATTTTTACTACAATATTAAGTACTTGAAGAACATGGAAATAAAATTCAATATTTATTTTATAACGCTTTTCACTTAAATCCATCTGTTTTTATATGGCTGTATGACACAACCCCTTTGTTATGATATGAATGTTTTAATATATACAAAAAAAATATGTCTCTCTCTTGGCTTTTGTGATTGTTCAATGTAAGTGCACATTGATTTTACAAATATATAATCTACTTTAATCCATCTTTTATTATAACTTAAACACCACCTATAGATGAAAACCGTAGGACAAACATAGCTTAACTAGGAAACTCCTAATCTTACGCAAATGCCTAAAGCAAGACGCCGCAAAAAACATGTCATAACATTTGACATTGCTTCATATTGTCAGGTGGTTTATAGTAATTGGTGAAATTCATTTTCACCTAAGGCGTTTCCTAAATATTTAAGCCAAGCCAGCCATTCCAAATCAGGTCGGAGAAAATAGATAATATTGTTATAATTTTGAAGTTATTTAAGAAAATAGCTGAAAGTAGAGCATTCCACTCTTTAAGGTAAAACTACAAATAAATGGAACATAGGGTAGATACGCTTGTTTTCGACCAATTAGTAGAGTAGCACTTTGAGGATAAAAATATAAGTAGAGAAAATATGAAAACTTGTAAAATTAAATTGTTTATTTCTTGATATTTTGTATATAAACAACTAAACTACCCGGTAAGTATTGGATAATACCTAGAGATGGAGAGCCCGCACTTTTTAACAATGGCAACTTGTGCCGCTAATTGTGTGCTAATCACTAATAATGTAAATTTGTGTAGGTGGAAAAACTTTAACCATTAGTCTTTTTTTGGTTTCGGGTATCACCTAGTCCCTTTACTCCCGGTTTTAGATTGAGTTGAAATTTTCCATGCATATTAAAAGTTAGAGGAATAAATGTTCTGATGATGAACCAGAGGGTAGCCTCTCCAGTTTGGACTCGTTGGTCTCTGGTTCAAGATATTGTATATTTTTTTTATTTCAGTCACATCGTGTTCGGGTATCCCTGAAATACAAATGACAGAAACCCAGAAGAATATATTCGACGAAGTGTCTTGGGTTCTCAAAATTATGTTGCTGAAAGAACAAAAGGCGGATGAATTGGAAGATCCTCGCCAAGTTGGTGTGGAGGCGCAACAACTTCCTGGCAATGATACTGGGTAATAAAATCTTATTTAATCGTTTTTGTTAACCAACTTTTGCAAAGGTCGGTCACGGGATAGGTGACCGTAAAATTATTGTCTCAAGCTACTCTGTGATTTCGAAGGCACATCCGTTGGTCCCGGCTGTATTTATAGTCGTTAATAATATTCAATCCATGTTAGGCCAGCGTGGAGGGTCATACTCGGTCATCCTCTTTTACTATACATAAGAAAGGAATGATCCCCTGCGGTGGGGACATAAAAGGGCTAATGATGATTGTAAATGCGAACGAAACTTTGACGATTTCACTTCCAAACCACTGAAACGACTATAATTTTTTATCTTTGTAGAACTGATTTGAATGAAATTCGTTAGGTATTAAATTAACTCTAGGAAAGGACTAACCTTCTTTCCTTTTCAACTCTTATAACTTTTATCGAAAAAGGGGGTTGAAATAGGACGATAGAATCACGAAGCTTTGTAGGTATAGATATAGATAAATACACTGGACCGCAAAGAAAACGGGTCGGTTAGAAAATCGTCAATATCTTGAAAACTACTTAACTTATTTTTATGAAATAAAAACTAAATTAAAGATTATTTAATTGTAATTTATTGAATATAAAAAAATACAAATTAAAAGTTGTCTATTTTCAATAAATGTCAAACGAATGAAAAAGGTAGTTTTTCTGACATTTTCGTAAATATGAATTGTATAAAGATGTGACGTTTTTACGCATGTTAGTATTTCGTGTTGCCTCCACGAGCTTGCAAAACTGCGGCTATGCGATTCGGCATACCTTCCACAAGGTTTTTAAGGCGATGCTGCGGAATGTTCTGCCATTCCTCGATCAAAGCTCCTTTCAATTCACGCAGCGTGATTGGCGGCGGATTCCATTGACGTACACGTCGTCCCAGTTCGTCCCATGCATGTTCGATGGGGTTTAAGTCGGGGCTTCGTGCTGACCACTCTATGCATGTGATACCTACTTCTTGAAAATAGTCGAACACTATCTGAGCTGTATGCGGGCGGGCGTTGTCTTGCATAAAAACAGCATTTTCGCCCATATCTACTAAAAATGGACCAGCATAGTCATTAAGAATTTCATTCACATATCGTTCTGCTGTTAAACTGCCATTTTCTATCACTACTAGCTCAGTACGGCTTTCGGAAGAAATCCCAGCCCACACGTGTATAGAGCCACCGCCATATGGTACTTTTTCTTCTATACAAGCTTGGTTATAGCGCTCTCCCGGTCTTCGGTACACTCTTTTCCTCCCATCGTGCTTGTATAAACAGAATCTAGACTCGTCTGAAAACATAACTCTTGACCAGTCATCCAGAGTCCAAGTTTCGTGTTCTCTGCTATAACTCAGCCTTGAGTTTAAGTGGTGTCTTTCTAATTTTGGGCCATTTGCAGGCCTTAATGGTCTCAAATTTGCTTCAGCCAGACGTCGCCTTACTGTATCTGTACTCAGATAGTTTCCTCCAGCTCGTAAATGGTGATTTTTTTACCTCAACTCGATGAGATCGATTCGTAAGAAATCGATTTCTCAAAATTGTTGACACCATATAGCGATCCTCCCGCGCAGTCGTGCACCTCGTTCGGCCTGTTCCTGGTCTTCTTAGGTTGGATCCAGTTTCATGGAAACGCTGGAGTACCCGCTGAACTGTGGAAAGACTCACACCAACAGTTCTCGCTGTATTGCGCTGACTGCGCCCATCTTCAAGCATTGTCAGGAACCTGGTGCATTTTTCAGGGGTTAACGACATGATGACTTCAGAATACAATTTTTGTATGACAAACACACGATATTTATTGTAGTTTTTATGTCAAAACTAAAACAAATGCGAAACAAATGTTTTGATTTTTTTTAGAACTAAATTGAAAAACAACCATTTTCTTCATTGCCAGTTTTCTTACACAATTATCTAAAGTAAATAAAAAGGTTTTATATACTATGTTAAATAACATTAAATATTCTTTAATTGAGTTTTTATTTCATAAAGCTAGGTGAGGTAGTTTTCAAGTTATTGAAGATTTTCTAACCGACCCGTTTTCTTTGCGGTCCAGTGTATTGAGTCATTTGGTAAGATTTTAGTAAGATATAGAAATTAACCGTATTATGAAATTTCTGCCCAAAAGTGACTATAGCATATTTATACGTGACATGGTCGAAGTGCTACACAAGTCCTAATGTGCAAATACACATACACACACGCACACATGCACATGCACATACGTACACACATACATACCACAAACTCGTTTGGTTTGTATAATAAGCTATCCAATAATAATAAAATAAAATTTAACATCAAGGCCATCTGTTAGGGAATTTTAATTTTTTTAATTGCAGCTTAGACCAACCTCAAAGGAGGCAGGGGGAAGCAACGCCGACGGAGGAAACGGACATGAAATTAAAATTATTCCGCCTAATGTATGAAAGTGTCAGGGACAGCGATCTAAAAGTGAAAAGGGCTGAATTAATCAATTCCTACTACGTGAATTCTACATCTTTTGAGGTTGGCTATTTAATGGGTGATATAACTGATAAATACAATATCATGACTGATATAGCTATGACACTGAAAAGATTATATGAAGATTGGAAGCCTATTGAGCATATAAATGCTTATGAACAAATAGCAAATCAGGCTATAGAGTTGAATCATTTGATTGAAATCATAAGGTCGGTTCACAATAAACAACCCATACATGAAACACCTGAAACCCGCAGAGCATGGCATAGAATAAATAAATAATTACATGGGGAAATAGATGAATAGGAGGAAGTATTTTAAAACGCACTTATGTAACAAGATGTCGCTCCGAGTTTTGTAACATTTGCAGTGTTAATTTAAATTGTCTATGATATGCTTTTAATTTTTTGTAATGTAATGAGGAAGTATTTAAAAAAAAACATTAGTTTCCAAAATCAAACCAGATGTCGCTACGGTACGTTCTTGATTTCTCCATGACAACCCTTCCGGTTTTCTTTCATGTTTAAAAGTAAATTAGTTTTCAAAACTCTATAAACAACTCATGTTCTATTTCTACTTTTTCGTATTTGTATTTATATCGAAGTTTTGAACCTTTCAAATTTCAGTTTTTTAATATGTTAGTTAAAAGGATCGGAAATTACTGTCTTTGGTCCATTTGTTTCCTGCAAAAATCAACTTTTGCTAGAGTCGCCTAAAGCACTAAAAAAGCACCTCCACTATCTAGTTTTTTTTAAATACTTCCTCATTAGTAAATAATAATTAAATTTTGCAAATTAATAAATAAAGTAATCGTCTATAGTTTTTAATATAATTTAATTCGATTTATTGTTTGTTTGTTTGTTAATAACGTTGAGAATAATATTATACAACATCAAGCTTTGACTATTAATAATATTTCTTTGTATTAATATTTCTATTTATAGCAAATAAAGAATTATTATTATTGTTATTATAATAAATTACTAGTTTTCTGCCAGCGGTTTCGCCAGCGTGGTTTTACAGTTTTTACGACATTTTTCATTGCTACTCTACTCCTTAGTCGAAGCGTGATGTTGTATAATATTATTATTATAATAATAACCTTCTTCAATAAATAAACTATTCAACACAAAAGTAATTTTTCAATTCAAACTAGTAGCTCCTAAGATTAGTGTGTATATTAATGATTAGAGTATCAGAGATATAGGAATTTAAGACTCGGGATATGTCACACACGACTCCAAAGTCAATGATTTTGGCGCTTTTCTAATAATGTTTTTTGCTTTTAAAAATAAAACTCCTGTGCTGATGAATTTGTGGAAATTGGCTACCCAACTTGTCGAATAATAACCTTCTAGTGCAAGTTTTTATAATTTTCAAAAATTAGTTATGATACCATGCATTTCACAGTAAAATTATTTTAAACTATTCAACTACTTATTATATTTCTATTACACTCTCGCCGTGCCTACGCAATTCAACACTGCTTAAGCATGCCTACAAGCAAGATAGACGTGTAGTCGATCCTTTACCCCCAATAGGAAAACCAGTGTTTAATGCTACGGCAATACCCTATTCTATGATCTTATGCAAAACAATGTTTTATTCGTTTGTTTAATTTGTTTCGAGTGAAATTAATGAAGTTCATGACACTAGTCTCATATTTTTGATGAAACTAATGTCACCCAACTTATATTACCAATATAACTAAAAACTATTAGTTTTTTCACACCATTATTAGCGCATAGCAAAGTTGGTATTCTGAAGAAGCCAGTCTCATCTGAAGGTACTTTACATTACATGCACAGCACCATAAGTTTTATTAGGATTCTGTACCCAAATGGTAAAACGGGACCCTAATAATAGGACTCCGGTGTCAGTATCAGGTTGTATCTCATCTCATGTTAGTTATACACTCGAAATTTTCACAGATGATGGACGAGATTTCTGTTGCTGCAAATAACAAATACTCAAAATAAAATAAAAAAAATTATGGCTCCCACAAGTAACGTTTAATTACAGTTTTTGTAGATAATGGTATGGAACCTTTTATCGACTCGGTCTTGCACTTTGCCGGTTTTTAATATTTACCGGTGTAATAAATGCCTAAATTAATGTGAGATTCTAATTAAACATAACAATTAAACTCATGCTAATTGAAAAGACGTTCATGTGAAACGGAAGTCTGTAGGAAAATGTGTTTTATATTAGCATTATTGTTTAGTTACGGTAAGTTATTATTTTATACTTTTTTTCACGACTACCTAACAAGGAATGTAGGTAGGTATTGTCTTTTTATATTACACCACTAGCTTTCCGCCAGCGGCTTAGTCCGCGTAGTCTTTAGGAAACTTTTTATATCGACTCATATCGTGATACAGATATAATTACAATGAAACTTTGAATACTATTACGATTTAGGGTTCGGGATAAAAAAACAACGCCAATTAAATTCCATCCGACTTTGTTTACTATATAAAATTATAAAAATAATTCAACAACAAAATCCACATTTCTTCGACTTCACATGAATGAGGAAGTATTAAAAAAAACGAAAGCACTAAGAACACACCTCCACTAGATGGCGACTCTAGCAAAAGTTGATTTTTGCAGGAAACGAATGGACCAAAGACAGTCATTTCCGTTACTTTTACCTAACATAATAAAAAACTAAAATTTGAAAAGATCGAAATTTAGATATCAATACAAATACGAAAAAGTACAAATGAAATATGAGTTGTTTGTTGAATTTTGAAAACTAATTTACTTTTAAACTTGAAAGAAAACCGGAAAGGTTGTCATGGTGAAATCAAGAATTTACTGTAGCGACATCTAGTTTAATTTCGAGAACTAATGTTTTTTTTCTAAATACTTCCTTGTTGAAAAAAACAGAAAATCTGTTTAGGCCGTCAGTCAGATAATTGTATAAAAAAAAACTTTTATGTATTATGATCTTTTTCGAGGTAATTTTGAATGTTGCCTAGTAATAGAAAAATATTAGGTACCTATTTATTTTTTACTTCAATTTAACAAGAAATATCTTAGATAACAGGCATTAAAGTTGAAGAGTGGGGTTCGTTACGTCACAGTTTTGTAGAAAATGTACCAAAACGTGACGTCATGTAACATTTTAACTGAATGTGAAAGGTTTAAAACTAAACTTTAAGTTTAAAAATAAATTCATTTGGAGATCTTCTGATGTAGTCAGGGATTCTATTTGACACGCCAGACTAAAAAGAGAAGTAGAAAATGAGAGAATTTTAGAAGAAAGAAATTTTCAGTCATGCGAATAGCAAAGATACTATAATTCAGGGTTAGTTATTATCAAAACAATAGGGAATATGCACATTTTTGGAAAATGATTTTATATGATAATTTACATCGATATACAACTGTAAAAAAATACCCGGCAACGAAAAACTAAAATTTTGTAACATTAATCATTGATGAAAATAAGTTATAGCTACGAGCAGTTTAAACCCGGTATTTTTGGCGCGCTCGTCGTGACGTCAAAGTACACGACTAGAGATGTGACACTTTAAATCAATATGGATTTTGAGCGATTGATTATTATTCAATTACTTAAATCAATTAACAACTAATCGATTTTTTAAAGTATAATAGACTTTTTTAATAAATCATATAATTTACCAAATTGATGAAATAAAAATAAAAGCCTAAAACATCATTTAAATTGTAATCAGTTGTTTATTTTGCGACATAATACATCGATGTTATTGCATCGATGTTAACTTTTTGTAACAACGACATCCCTATACGTGTACATTTTCGTCACATCCTCTTTGATAAGTAGCATGGCATTTAAATATTTTGAAGTAGCCGCATTTATTTTGCACTTTCTAATAATTATTTTCAAGACGAAAACGAACTAATGTTGAAAAACATTTAGATAGACTTTATTCTCAAGCAATAACGATTGTAATAAAATATATTTAACCCTTTTTTAATCAGACGCATATTCCCTATTATCAAATAAATTATCCATAGTTACCTACTGGCAACATTTTTTTAAAACAGAAATTCATTCCTTCTTGAATCAATTTTAAAATACACTAGACATACAAAAATCTATAAAAATTATACAAACAAAATAAACAAAAAAATTAACAGTGAAATTACATTGAAAATAATGTAAAATTTAAAAAGTTTAAAGATCCCTTCCCTTTAATACTAGTCCTAAACTACAAAGAGATTTTGTGTAGTGTTTTATAATAAACAAGATCATTATCTTGATAATAATCGCTATGTTTATCAATGATAATTATCACTCTGAACCATGCTTGAATTTACACTTTAAGTGATCTAGAGAACGTGGATTGGAGAGATAAGAAAAGAGAATACAGAAACAGCTAACGTACGGGGAAGTAATTTAAGTTGAGACCTTCGATAAAAAAGGTTGAGACCTTCGATAAAAAAGGTTGAGACCGATAAAAATACAAACATATTTATCTGTCTAACCATAAATATTATTGTAAATTATAGGGACTTCTTAAAACACCATAGACTACCCATATACTTCAAGTGTATTCTATATGTCATGTTAAAAAAAAAGCTTTTTAGCAATAAACCGGCATTGAGGAAGTATTTAAAAAAAAAGCACCTCCACTAAATGGTGACTCTAGCAAAAGTTGATTTTTGCAGGAAACGAATGGACCAAAGACGGTCATTTGCGTTCCTTTTAACTAACATATTAAAAAACTGAAATCTGCAAAGTTCGAAACTTAGATATACGAAAAAGTACAAATAGAATATGAGTTGTTTATTGAGTTTTGAAAACTAATTTACTTTTAAACATGAAAGAAAACCGGAAAGGTTGTCATGGAGAAATCAAGAAGGTACCGTAGCGACATCTAGTTTAATTTTGGAAACTAATGTTTTTTTTTATAGTTCCTCATTATTGTTCTGTCTGTTACGTTATTATGTTTTGTTTCTTCACGACTTATGGTTTGTACGATAAGAGTTTTTCATTCGTTCATTCAAACTTCGACAGGTTTACTGAATGTCGAAGCCCAATACCAATATCATTACCATTATGAGAACGACTTCCAGACCAACCCAGAGAAAACTAAAATTATTATGGTCGCAGAAGAATTAATCAAGGAAGCACACTTAAAAATAAGACAGGTGGCCGACATACGCGATGACCATTCCACGGAGAAGGCATTCGAAATTGGGCTTGTGATGGGTAAGTTCTTATCAATTGTGAAAGGAAAAACATCCATACATTCATTTCCACCCCTTTAATTTTTAATTTGATAATT